TATAAATAATAACAATTGAAGTAAGAAAAACAAACACGAAATATAACAAGAATTTAATAATTATTATTATTTTTTATTAGAATAGTGCAATTAAGGCTAGAAAACAAACATAATAGGAACTAATAGTAATAGTAGTAATAGTAATAATAATAATAATAGAAATGTTAATAGATTGTGACCGTTCCTCCATGCACGTACACAAAATGCACACACACACACACACACGTACATAAATAGAGATAAACAAAATGCCACAGCTGTGCATAAAAATTTCAATTTTCAATAGGTAGGCATTATATATATGTAATAAATTGTTTTCATAATATACATATATATAAGCACCTCTCATTTAATTTTTTCTTTTCAACCGGGTAAACGACAAAAAAAAAGGATCCCATCAGAGAAACAGCATCTTGTTTGTTTTTTTTTATTTTATTTTTCTTGTAGTAAAAAATATCATTTTATTTTTAGCAATTGAGAACAAGTAATAGTCATATGTATGTATGTATATATATGATAGATGGATAGATAGATAGATTCTTTTATCATGCAAAACAAATCCAAAAACTCTTCCATTAATAATTATTGAATTGATAAAATACTTGGTAGAATCAAATTTGGTTATATACTCTTTTTATTTGTTTTATTTGTTAGTATTAATTTTTTTTCTCTCTCTCTCTCTTTCTCTCTAGATTATCATTATTATATCTGTTGTAAATTGGTTGATGTCTTGAATGAGACGGAGTAGAAGACGAAGACGAAGTAATAAAGAAAGAAAAAAATGAATGTGCGTACGCATGTAAGTCAATGCGTGTGGGTGTGTGTATATGTGTTTGTGTGTCATATATGTGCAATATATATAACTACTAATGATAGGACTATGCCGGAAAAAAAATAAAGAAACAACAACAACAGCAACGATAACAACAACAATGATAATAATAATAATAATAATAATAATAACAGAATATGTCTCAACGGTAATATATAAATATATGCGTAAACATAAACAGTATTCTCCTTCACACACACACAAACACACAAAAAAAGCCTAGAAAAAACAAAACAAAAAAACTCCAAATCACGATGGATGTAGCACGCACGTGTACACAAATATACAGACATGCATGCACGCACACGCAAACACACACGCGTAGTACTACTACTTGTAGTAGTAGTAGTAGTAAGTAGACATGGAATAAATGGAACACAATGTCAAATTGTAATACAAAATATAAATGTATGTAAATATATATGTGTGTGTGAGTGTATTGTATGCGTATGTACGTAGAAAATAATAATTGTAAGCAATAGAAAAGTATCATAGAATTTTCAATTTCAATTGTTTATATAGAATGAATATAGATATATATATAAGATAGATGTTGTTAGAGTATCATTCTATTTCAAAAAATTCATTGTTTCACATATGATTTTTGCAAATTATCAATGGGTTTTTCTTAAAAAAAAAGATAAGGGCATAAATAATAATGCATAGTAATATGCGTGTCTACATAATGAAATATATAAATAATAATGAATCATTGTGAAGTGCTAACATACACATACATAGTCAATTAATTGGTGAAGAGAAAAAAAAATAGTCTAAATGAAAATAATTATACATTAGTGTGTATTTAAAGAGTGAGTTCACTAAGAGAATAATACTAAAAAAAAGAAAAAGAATTTTAATAACTTAAAAACCAACACATCTTACTAATCTACACATATCTAGTTCACCTTTCTCTATGTGCCTCTCTCTGTGTGTACCGTACATATGATCGGTTGGTTTCATGAGGTTAACGGAGAAAAAAGAAAGGAATAATCAGTGTTGCCCATTGACAAATTGATGTAGGGTAGGTTAGGGTAGGAGAACAAAAAATTAAAACCAATGTCTCAGGCAGTAGAAATATAATGATGATGAGTCTCTCTCATTGAAAATAGAGATGATGATGATGATACCTACAATATGCATAGGACAATTCACTGGAGCAGACTAATTTTTATTACATTGTAATGCACAAAACCATATGAAATTATTATTATTATTACTGTTTCTGCAATTGTTAAAAATGTCATTGAGAAACAATTTGACGAGAAAATTTCAAAAAACCCAAAAATTTACAAAAATAAGATTGACAGCCAATGGAGGAGGAGGAGGAGGATAAATTGATGCGGGAAACCAAAAAGATGAACGACGCGATTAATAATATTAATGATAATAATACTAATGACAAAAAACACAAACATTTCCAAGAGAGACTGGGGGGAACAGATAGTTCATGTTCTACAGAGAAGAAAATACAGACAAACAGAAAAACAACATGATAAAATAATATATAATGTCTATTTATTATCAATCTTGAATAAATTACATCTCAAAGTGTTTTTTTTTCACATTTTCCTTGTTTGCTTGCTTGCTTTTAATTGAACACATACTAACTAATAGATAAATATGAATTTCAGTCTATTATTACAAAATAGCAATCGATTAAATGTAGAGGAAAAGGGGCGGAGGAGAAGAACACAACTAGAAATGAAGGAATATGTCTCACCTGATTTTGATGAATAACAGATTTAGCATAATGCACACGCACGCACACACACACACAGGTACATTATAAAGAGAGTGAAAAAAAATTGAACCGGTTAAAAAAATTTTACTGAAGGACCAACAAACAAACATTGATTTAGAGCATCCATCATCTTAGACAAAAATTGGGAAAATAGGAACCTGATCCTGGGTATGCGGTATGCATGAATGTAAATCTGACGCAAATAGAGTGAACACTATTGATGATTATGACGATGATGATCGCTTGAATAAACGAGTTAAACAAATAATGTTTCATAGTCATATTCATAATAGTAACAATAATAATATTAACAAAATTACAAATATGAGTGAAAATAATAATAGTAGTAATAATAATAATAATAATGATAGAAACAATACAAACAATATGATCTCAACAGGAAACGAGTAACAATACATGAATATGAAATGTATAACTACTACTACTACTACTACAAAGCAGCATAATAAGTACATGTAGAATTTTTGTGAATAAAAGAAACTTAATTCATAAATTTATATCGACCGGAAAAACAAACGCACACACACACACACACGGTCATTTCAACAACAACAACAATAAAAAAAGAAACAAACATGATTAATAAATAATACACATTAAAACAACGCATTGAACACTCACTACTTGATCATATACAACAACACCCCAGAGTAGAGGAAAAAATAATAACAGAAGCCAATGATGAGAAAGAAGGAAGAAGCAAAATAAATATCAATTACGAATACATAAGAAATAGATATGGATAACAATTACCAACAATGTGATGATACTTGGGAGTATCAAATTATATGATGAAATTCAATCAGAGCTGCAAATAATTAAAGATAGGTTGGTAGGTAGGTAGGTATGTGTAGAAATAGAGTAATAGACAGAACTAGCTGACGGCTAGATGACAGACAATAAAGTTAGGTGAACAGAAAAAAAAATGAAGAAAATGAAGAAGAAGAAGAAGATTAACGGTAACAGCATTATTTTAATAGTCATATATATAATTAGCACACAGCGGTATTTAGAAAATAAGTTATGAACTATCTGGAGACGATGATCATAGTGTAATGATGATGATGATTTCTCACACACAATATTGTTTTTGTTTTTTAGAAGAAAAAAAATGCTACAATGACACATTCCTGTTCTTGTTTGTGAAAATCTCTTAACCAGATATATATATATTATGACAAGTGTAAATTTGATGATGATAGTAGATATTAGTATCATTAGAAAATAAGATTAATGATTAGTAGTATTGTTATCATTATTATTAGTAGTAGTAATTGCTTGCATTCAAATAAACAAATTGTCCTGAATATATATATGTATATCTCATCTTCCTGATCACGATATTCAATACATTATAATTCACAATAAAAGATATAATCAATTTTCAAAGAGAGATTGTTCTTCGTGGTAATAGTAATAGTAGTAGTAGTAATAACAATAATGAAAAGTATTATTCATTGATTGAATTTTTTTTTCCTGTTTACGGTCATTTAGAACCGGGAACGAAATATAGGATAGAACGTCATTCATTTCTGGTTTTTTTTTTACTTGTAAGTGACATACATCTCAATTAGGTTGTTTGTTTTATAATATCTTGATTGTTGGTACACCACATTTGACCTGTGGACACAAAATTCAATTCTCTATGATGTAAACAGAATAAACCGGGGGGAAATTGGTTAGTGTAAACAGTCAACATTTAATAGATAGACAGATATATAGTTAGATAGATAATGTAACGCAGTAAAGAACCCTGAGAAGCGATCATCGTTAACAAATAAATGGTCATTCACAAAAAAATAAAACCAATTGGTCACCGAATGAAAATTGTAATAAAACAAAAGAAGAAGAAGAAGAACAAGAAGACAAGAATCGTTGTAAATCAAAGAGTTACCTATCAGAGAAGAAGAAGAAGAAGGAGAAGAATACGGTAATATACGATATCATCAATAACAACAATTGGAATTTCTGACACAAAGAAAACAAAAATAAAGAGATGATTGAACATTGAAAAAATGAACATTGATTATTATTATTATTATTATTATTAAGTTAGTTAGAAAGGATCAAATGATGCAGTCTGCCTAAACACAGTCTTGTGGAAGCCAATTCACAAATGAGAAAGTAATTATTTCAAAAAATAATAATAATAATACCACAGGTATAACATTATCAAATAATAGTAATAGTAATAATAATAATAATAATAATAAATAATAATAGTAGTAATAATAATTTTCCGAAATGCGATAACAACTTTATTCTCACACACTACTACTAGTGGTGTCAACATACAAATGTCATACATAGCCATAGCATACCAACAAAATGATAATGGGGATTGTGGAAAAAAAAAGAGATTGATAAAATTCAACAATACATACATAACGTTAATAATAACAATAATAATAATGATAATAATAATAATCTATTGCATGCCTAAGTTTGTGAATTTGCTAACATTTGTTTTGTTTTTCTTCTGCATTAAATGAGATAAAAAAAAAAGATCACTTGATGAATGATTGATTGATTTGTAAAGGCTAAAAATCGCATAAACAGATTAACCATGATGAAATGGAGATTATTATATATATCCTAGGCCACTTCTGTAATAGACGCCAATGAAGATGAAACTGATAAAGCCATAGTATCTTTATCGGTTGACAAGAGATTTGGACTAGGACGTCTTCGACGACGACCTTCACCAATAGCTCCACAACGTGCAGATTGATGATTACCACCATTATTAGTTGTGTTCTCTACTCCATTATTATTATTATTATTATTATTGCTATTATTATTATTAATCCCAATTGAACCGGTGGTGTATTCATTTAAATGTTCCGAAAAAAATGCTGAATTTCGTGTAGTCACATCAATTGAATGCTGTTGAAATTGATTCTCACTTTCTAAATATGGAAATCCAAAAGAATCGTCTATAATATTATTATTGGATGCACAACAAATCGGAATGTGATCATGATTAGCCTGAGGCCAAAAAGAACTATTCATACGATTGGATATATTAAGATCATTATTATTATTATTATTATTGTTATGATTAGTTGTAGAAATTATATTAGACACTTGACCTGTTGAATTATTATTCGTATTGAATAAACGTTGTAAAACAGAAATATTAGACAAAAGTCTTGATCCACCCAATGATTCAGTAGATGATGATGGTAGATTATGAGAGAGATTGTTACTTTTAATACTACTTATAGTATTATTATTATGATTATGATTATTGTTAATATTGCCACTGCTTTGAGTTTTACTTGAATTTGACGATGACCAAAATTGAGTAGAATTAACTAAAGATTCTTTAGTTTTATGAATAAAAACAGATTCGCTCTCATTGTGATCATGTGTTTCAAAACCTGGAGGACAAACAGTCATACAGTTGTTATTCATTGTAGTGCATACCACCGTAGCAGCAGTAACATTAGCAACAGCATCTTTATTATCACAGGAAGAATTCAAGCATAATTGATCTAAATCATGAATAAAATTAAAATTATTCATTGAATATGATTGTGAATTTGTTTCAGCATCATCAATAACCACAGTATGATGATGACCTGGTGAAGAAGCAGTATCGCATGAATCAGCTGTCAGTTCAGTAAGTAGATGAGAAGAAGGAACAATCCAATCACTATGTCGACGAGTTAATGGTTGGTGTAAATCTTGTTCATGTTGTAAACGATGATGAAGTAACATAGTCGGACTGATGTCATCATCTGTTTCGCGTCTTAAATCGGTAAAGTTGAAAATGCCAGTGTCAAATGTATTATCTAATGTACGACCATTTATAAGGTGATTGGAACAATTCATAGAATTGCCATTATGATTAGGTGATGATGGGTTAATTGGATTATTATTCAATGTGGAACTAGAACCAACGTAACCATGAAGCTGTGAATTCGAATCTGTCGGAACTGAAGTAAGTGGTGGAGCTATTGAATTCCATATGTCAGAAACTAAATTAGAACCAGGAGCACGATTCATATTAGTGCGAAAATCATTTGATGGCGATAAGTCAAAATCTGTTATGGAAAAATAAAAAGCACATGTTTTTAGACAAACGTGGCAAAATCTCGGCAGTTTTATCATTTATAAAAGATAACTGGAAAGAAAATTATCGATCCACATTTAAATGTATAATTAAAAGAAGTGTATGATTAAAAGAAATCAATGGCGTACTTTTTTGAAACGGGTCAATTTGAGGCAATCTCAAAAAATGATTAAAAACTTAAGCACATTACCATACATATCCAGTCTACGAAGTACAAATGATCAGAATTTCTTACACTGAAATAATTTGTACAATTCAAATATCCGAACACATTAGTTATTAGCATCTTAGTGAAAATAAAATGTTGAAAATTTTCGGAATTTTGGTTAAACAAAATGATAAACAACATGAGCTCAACAACCACTGATATTGATGAGTCAGATATCGAGACATTTAGTTTTCAAGTGATATCATCATGAGATAAGTGTAGAAGTGTTTTATAACCTGTACAGAAAGAATGTTTAGTACTTTAGTAGTGGTCATGTTATCATATTTTCTCAATGATTTCAGTTTTATAATCTATAGGGTAAAATCAATTCGGTCAACATGTTGATGAGTTGAAACACGTTAGAAAGTTATACATATATATATCAGAGACGTTTATAAATCTATGCTTCGTAAAATAACATGTCTGAACTTGTTTCTATGACATTCGCGTCATAAATTATATAGATATATACATGTGAGAATTTTGTCAACGTGCTGCAACTTATTGGTATGTTGAACAGATTGAATTTATTTTACAAATGAAACTAAAATCAGTGTGAAACACAATAAGTACACTTAGAATTCACATGAAAATCTTTTATGGTCTAAAGTTAAAGACACGTAGTTTTCAAACGGGTCTGTCAGTGTATAAAACGACTTTGACAATGTAGCTTTGATCATTAAAGGCTAGATATGAACAACTAAATGTTGATAGTACATTTGTTTTCAATATGTGAAATCTACGAAGGATTTGATTGTGACCGATTTGGTCACGTGTGCTTTTATGGGCGGTCAAACCACAAAACATGGCACAAATCCATGAAGTAGTCGCTAACAATTGGATTGAGTTATGATGGTAAATGTAGACTACCTGGTTAAGATCTGTGGTATGATGGTAATAGATGGTTAGAGACCTTGCTTCGATATAGCTATAGTTGCCATACCACATTAGCACAACGACGTAGATGTCAAATCAAATCCCATAGTGATAAAGATAGTAGAGGTATAAATGGTAATGAAGAAGACTAGGGTTCGAAGATATTATTCAAGAATTATAATTAGGTGAAATAAGGTTAGAAAGACAAAGGTAGAGGTGCTGACGAATCCAGAAGATTAGGATTTTAGAGAGCACAATGAATGGATGCACTTGCGCCATTGCAAACGATTTTGAGCCATGTCGTTCAAGGTCTCTAACCATTTGTGACTTTCGTCACGCGGACCCCAACCACGTAGTCTACATCTACCAACATGACTCAGTCCACTAGTCAGTGACTTCATGGATTTCTGCCATGTTTTGGTTTGGCCGCCCCTAGATTTCTTCCAACCTACTCCTACACCACAAAACATAGCTCGTCGAGGCAGTCGGTGGTTAGCCATACGTAACACATGTCCCAACCACCTCAACTGATGAAGGTTCACAACTTCATCTATTGACCTGGCATCCTTACCTAGTACTCGTTTCCTAACGACAGCATTGCTTACTCGGTTGTCCCACGATATACGAGCAATGCTTCTTAAACATCCATGATCGAATACTAGTCCATAACATAACACCTCTGGAATTGGATCTTACAGATAATGTACATTGTGTTGGATTTGAAACGTTATCAGATACGCCTCATAATAGAAGTCATAACACTTAGTCGTGCATAAATAAATTACAAAAAACTGATCTTATACTTATGATACTTAGCAGATAAAATATAAACTCTGCATTTGCAGTCACTTTATAACAAGCACGTGACACTAGTAAAAAGTGTCCTTATTACACAGTTGCATATTTGTCACTCAAATTAAAAACTAGCTCTAGTATTGATCATTTGCGTAAATTTTAATGCTTCTATAGAAAGTAGCCTTCATTAATCATAATCTGTCAACATAAATTAAGATAAAGTATACAGAAAATGCAAATGCTTACTTTGAACAGTACGTGGAATACACATTTGAAATCCATTTGATGCAACGTCAGTTGGTGTAGTTGGAGAACGATGATTATAGTGACCATTATTTAGACTAAATGCAGTTGACAACATTCTTGAGTCACTATTTAGTGCACATTGATTGTTTGAATTGCCATTACAAGCAGAAGTATCAACAGAATTCACATCGTCACAGCCATTTGTTTGAGTACTGTCAAAATAAGTTCCATTCAGTAAGTGAGACTGGAAATGATTAGAATGTTGATTATCGCCAGATGAATTTTGAGAACCATTACAACCTTTTAGACTAAGCAACGAGCCCTGTGTATTCATAGTGGTTATCGAACATACAGATGTTGATGAAGGCCCTGTAGAGACAACAGCTAGCTCCTTGGCTCGACGAGTTTTATTTTTAGACTCTACCAATATACGATCTAACACTTCACGAGCTTCTTGTGAATCCATTTGAGCAACATCAGGCCACATCCAACCATTATTACTACCACCGTTTGTTTTTGAAGTGCTGTTACAAACGTTAGATATTGTCGATGCACTAGGACCGTTAACTCTTTGCTCTTCAGAGCTGATATTAGATGATCCAGAAGCCTCCTCCACTTCTTCACTGGCACGTCGTTCCAATTGTCTCATTACTAAGTGACCGATCAACTGCTTTGCCTGCTGTACTCTACATTCAGCCGCCTGGTTTGAACTTAAGCCTAAACCTTGATATGCTGAAATCTCAAATTCAGAAGTTGCATTAGGACCACGTACGGCTTCCTTCGGAGGGCTTTTAATCTCTGTACCAGTATCTTTTTGTATAGTAGTAATGATTGACCCCTGAGTGCCAATTATCTTACCCACCATTTCCTGAGGAACAGATATTCGACCACGTGCTAAAAGCACGCGACTACCAGGTGTACTTGTGCTTGAAAACATGCCACTGTTCGTGATTGTGTTCGACTGTAACTGATTATTACCCAATGAATTTGAATTCCCTGGACTAGCTGGTAAACTTGAAAATGATGGAGCAAATATTGCTGTATTCGAACTACGAACAGAATTGTTTGAAGAAAGAATAGCACCATTGAAAGGTACATTAATAGTTGTAGATGGATGAAGTGGTGAGTTATTCACACTATTGCTTAGTGATAAAAGTCCAGAAACAGGACATGTATTAGAAATAACAAAGTTATTTGAACTACCAGGTGTTAAAGTTGGTCCTGAGTTACCACCACCAGTAGACGATACATTAGTCATATTTACTCCGGTAGCATCTGTACCACATGGTTGTGAACTAGTAGAACCACGTCTTCTTTCTCCTGCAACAATTTTACTTTGAGTTATTTCTTGTGCTCTGGTAGCTAAATGATGAGCAACGCGCATCGCTATCTCTGGAGGAGCTTCAATAATAAACACATGTTCTTCTTGTTCACCAGGTGTTGTAATTAAAGCACCAGTTTCTTCACGTATCAATTTGATTTTCTGACCTAAATAAAAAGTTATAGAAGGTAACAATTGTCAATCACATTGGTAGAGTTATAAAAATTTAATGAAACAAATTTTCTTGAGATAAGATAAATAAATATAGGTTATCAGCTGATTAAATTTAACATAACGAAGCATTGGTATTGGAAGAATTAACACAGTGGAATTAATAATAAATCAAAGTTGAAAAAAATTCCAGCCAAATTCCAAGTAAATGTTGATGTTTTCAACAAAAAAAAAGCTAAAGTAATATTCACAAACTCTCATTCAATAAACAACTTCATGAAAACGTTTATGCTTAATATCCATCCACATATACAGAGATGATAAACGTAGAAAAGTAAAACCTGTTGAACATCATATATCGTGGGACAATCGAGTAAGCAACGCTGTTATTAGGAAACGGGTGCTAGGTAAGAATGGCAGATCAATAGATGAAGTAATGAAACTTCATCAGTTGAGGTGGTTGCGATATGTGTTGCGTATGCCCAACCACCGACTGCCTCGACGAGCTTTGTTTTGTAGTGTAGGAATACGTTGGAAGAAAGTTAGGGACGGCCAAACCAAAACATGGCAGAAACCCATGAAGTCATTGACGAGTGGACTTAGCCATGTCGGTAATTGTCGACTACCTGGTTGGGGTCCGCGAGATGATAATAATCGATGGTTAGAGACCCTGAATGACATGACTCAAAATCGTTCGCAATGGCGCCGGTGCATTCATTCTTTGTGTTCTCTCAAATCCTAATCTTCTGGATTCTTCAACAACTCTAGTTTTGACTTTCTAAACTTTTTTCATTAAATCATACTTCTTGAATAATATCTTCTAATCCTAACCTCTCCGATTACTTCTAATACCTTTACTAACTCTTCTACTATTGGATTTGAATTGACAATTATATCTCTGTGCTGATGTGGTATGGCAACATGAACTGATGTACTTACGTACGAAGTTCTACGTTGCATCTCACTGACTGACTGAAAACCTGTTGAATATGTTAATGTTTAGCAGAAGAAAAACACACTATGTTCAGTTGCTGAGTTAGGATGAAGATTGAGTAGTTGCAGACATTTCAAAACGGAATCACTAAGAACTTGTTTTGAATCTTACTAGTGTAAAAAAAACTGTACAGTAATTGTCTAACCAAATAGGAAAAAATTACAATGGATATTTGAAAAACAATCACATTATTCCTAACTGAGAATTGCGATGATAATAAACAGACTGAGAATCGCTCATCGTGTTTTTCAATAATACAGAACTTTTGTTTATGAATTAGCCAGTTGAAGACTCAAAAATGATTTCATGCATTTTAGAATGCTAGGAGTAATACTAAGTAAATTCACATACACAAATGACTGACAGTCTGGTGGTATACAAGAAATGTGCGTGACTAATGAAATATATATGATCGCATCTCCGCTTATTGAACAGATAACTTGAAAGCCCGTGGTTTAAATTGTATTTATTATGTTTAAACATTAAAAGCTAAGTACAATAGGTGTAACACTAGTTGTGGTTAATTTCATTTACACCCAGTTTTACCAGTGAATTTTTCATTACATATTACACTTTCCTAATACATAAAAATACAACAAAAAATAATAAGGTTATAGAAATACTTTTACTTTTACTAGAAAGCAAAAAAAAGAGACACCATCAATATCGAACTAAATGAAACAACAGATATTAGATAATTTTATTGTGCACACCTAATCCATAAACACAGGCCGTAGTTCTTTTTACGAAGTAAATCAATAAAAATTCTTCTTTATGTTTCTAGAAGTGAGATTAAATCAAACTCCAAGGAGACGGGGAAGACTATACTATGTTTCACATTTACAAAAACATTAAATATTGCTTAATTTGTAATATAAATTATCCTTATATTATAACTTGTTAGGAATTGGTAGTTTTTTGCTGTCCTATGTTGTTTCTTGCTACGTATATTTTGTAATTGCATCAACCTATTATTATGATCAGTTTAGTCTGGTTATTTTAAAACCAATGAATCCCATGAGACAACAACACGAATTGTAACAACTATGCAAATTATTTAAGAACTAATAGATAACTTTGTTCTAACTATGATATCAGTGGGATGTAGAAATAAGAGTGATATTTGTAAGTGAAGTTGTGTTAATTAGTATATTGAGCAATATTCAATACAAAACCTGAATGAACTGGTTAGTTAGTGCTACTGATGACCACAGTAGAAACTGAGTGACTCTAGCTGAAGAGTTGTGCAATTGTCATTTAAAAAGATTCACTTGTCAGATTCCGGTTGTATCGAAAAGAGACGGAGTGACAAATATATCTTTAAGTGTTTACTTGTTGGGACTACTAAGTGAACGACCCTGAAGTTGGGCGCAGGATAATAGGCAGAAATAGCAAACCGGTTTGATGAAGTAATGAAGCTTCATCGATTGAGGTGATTAGGATGTGTGATACGTATGCCCCACTATCGCCTACCCCGACTCACGATACTGTCTCTCAAAGTAAGAGACTGAAGTGGGAAAATTCTTTAGTCGAGAAATAAAACTTTGATATACTGCTTAGATCCGTACAATGTTAACCGAGAAACACAACAATACGATTATGTTATGTAACCTAATATTAGAGATTTTTGAGGTAGAAGTATGTTAAGACCTTGTCAACAGTAGTTTTAATGATTATAATGGTACAATATGTGGCAATTAAGCTCTACACAGTCAAGTTTTAGTTCATCAGTGAGAGTGATCTAAAGAATATCTTTCAGTTGTCTGAAACAGACAATATTTACTATTCTGTTAAGAATTTGTACATGAGCATGTTATCTTAAGTGATGAAATACATTTTTCCCAGCTGATCATCTTATCTAAGATGTCAGTTAGTTCAAGGGTTTCAATCAGTAACTTGGTCGTTCGATCACATTGTATCACTATAAATTACAATCAACTGGAGCAGTCCTCACACGCTTACCAATCCATAAGTGTATTCTATTACAAATCATCAAACTTCTCCCAATGATATGTATAGTGGTCTAAAAATTCTATTGATAATTAATAGCAAGGGGTATTGCAGGTTCTAACACGACGTTGACACAATTGGACAGCATTAATAACTACACAACATGGCTTTATTATTATGAACAGTTAATATAGTCTTTAAAATTGGGTGCGTACACTTCGTATAATATTTATCTCACTTGTGCTGATCTGAATATCGGATTTTTGCAACTAGCCTATGGTAAATGAGATATTAAAACAGCATCAGTGAAGATCGGAAGCAAAACGCCTACTTACATATAATCATCATCATCAACAGCAATGTAGAACTTTCCACGTGTGCACAGCAGTTCAAGTTGCTATACCACATTAGCACAGAGACGTAATTGTCAATGCAAATCCCATAGTAGATGTATTAGAAGTAATCGGAGAGATTAGGGTTCGAAGATGTTATTCAAGGAGTATAATTCAGTGAGATAACTTTAGGAAGAAAGAAAGAAAGCGGTGATGAGGAATTCGGAAGGTTAGAATTTCATAGAACACAAAGAGTAAATGAACCTGCGCCACTGAAGACGGTTTTGAGCCATGTCACTCAGGGTCTCTAACCATCGATTATTATCATCTCGCGGACCCCAACCAGGTAGTCGGTACCTACCGACATCACTCAGTCCACTTGTCAGTGACTTCATGGATTTCTGCCATGTTTTGGTCTGGCCGCTCCTAGCTTTCTCCCAAGCTATTCCTATATTGCAAAATATAGCTCGAGACAGTCTATGGTTGGGCATACGTAGCACATGTCCCAATCACCTCAACTGAAGTTTCAATACTACATCTATTGACCTGCCATCCTTACCTAGCACCCGTTTTCTAACAACAGTATTGCTTATTCGGCTGTCCCACGATACTTGAGCAATGCTTCGGAGACACCTATGATCGAAAACCAGAAACCTACGAATATCTTCTACTCTGACTGACCATGTTTCACAGTCATAAAGTAGGATGGAGCGAATCACTGCGCAGTACACTAGTCTTTTAGTCAGCAAACGGATATCTCGCCTACGCCATAAGTGACGCAGGTTGGCAAAAGCCGATCGAGCCTTATGTATCCGAGCTGAGATTTCGTCACAAACCAGGTCATCAGCACTGATTAGACTCCCCAGATAAGTGAAGTGGTCTACACGCTCAACTACTTCACTCCCTATCACTAGTTCAGGTGCCGATGCAACCTTATCTTGAAGCAATATTATGCATTTCGAGGGGGAAAACCGCATCCCGAATGTGCTTGCATTGTTGCTCAGGGTGGTCAGAAGACTCTGCATTTCGTCAGCGTCTTCACCATGTCATCAGCATATTCTAAGTCAATAAGCGAGCCTCCTGGTAGAAGGTCTACTCCTGAAATACAGACGAGGATAAGGTTATTTCTAAGAGCATGTCTATGACAAAGTTAAACGAGAATGGAGAGAGTGGACATCCCTGACGAACACCGCTTGAAGTAACTAATTCCGGTGACAGTACGCCATAAGCTCTCATTCGACCAGTGGTGTTCGATTAGAGAGCTTGTATAAGGTTAATGTACTTCTTTGGTACACCTTTCAATGACAGACATTGCCACAGAACCTCACGATCCACTGAGTCAAATGCCGCCTTAAGTTCCAGGAAAACAACTATTGTAGGACGTCTAAATGTGTGTCTGTGTTCCAGGATCAGTCGCAGTGTGAAGATGTGGTCTATACAACCACGTTTAGGTCGAAAACCAGCCTGGTTTTCTCTGGTCTGCTCTTCACGAGCTCTAGTTAGGCGTCTAAAGATTATCGAGGCTAACAATTTAGAAACTATATTAGTTAGACTTAATCCTCTGTGATTATCACAAGAAGACTTTTGTCTTTTCCTATAGATTGGGACAATCAGCGATTGATACCAGTACCTACATATAATATATATAGAGTTTCTACTTGTTGCAATCCAGTATGGTAAGTGGTAGCGACATTGACAAAAGTTAACTGGATAATTTTCCGGTGAGTTTTAGTTATTTATATGATCAAATGCAGAGATAAGTTACAAAATAAACGACACGACTAATATATTGTGAAATACATTACTGCTTCAAGTGAAATTTTAGATGACAATAACTTCTTTTAGGGAAGAGGTGGAAAACGCTCCATATTTGTCTTTCAGTCCTAGAATTAACGTTGAAAGGAAGAGAGATCTACATATCTCAACTTATGCCCTGCTTCTGATAGGGTCAAGTGGTGGATCTCTAGAAAACAAAGATGGTATAACAGCTAACATCTGACTTTTACTTTTAGGTATCAGATGTATAATATCCGTAATATAGAGTGGGTTGAGAAAAGACGCCAATACGACAACCTCGTCAATAAAATTATGAGGGAAAGCCAGGTTTCTAGGGATTCCGTTTCTAAGAACTATCTTAACGGATCTAGAGTTGAGAAGTTACCAAACTCTCAATTAAGAGAACACTTAAACAACAAGGCTACAAATAGCTCCAACAAACCAAAATATTCTAAGATATGTACTCTCGTCATGTTTCCTGTAGGCGCATTTTGCACTTCATTTGCTCCAGCAAGCTACGGTACTTGCATCTCTATATGCCAAGTGAGAAGAGTACGCTCTCCCTCTCGAAAAACTTATATAGCCTTGCATATATAATCACTGCTAGAGAAGCTCTACTCTGCCTTGTCGTTAAGGGCGTCGATTATGAAATTGGGAGGGAAAAAGCGAATGGCCGACGCTGAAACTGGGTTGGTAGGTACGGAAGATACACCTAAAGGAGTTGACAAACCCTTATTTCAGACCATCGGTGCTTATGAGCTTCACGACCCTAGGGAAACAATCAGTGCATGAACTCTTAGTTGGTCGCCGACTACTACGGGGCTGCATCTGACGTTGGTCCACTGTCCTGTGGATTATATCTTTGGCTTAATAGCTCAGGGAGTGTTTCGGTTTGGACATTTGGAAAATATGCCAGCCTACATACAAATTCAATAATTTTGTGGCACTTATATTTTGATTCTCTGTACCAATATTAGTGTTCAAATAAATAAAAATAATTTTACGAGAGAGGAGCCGTAAACAGTTCTGCCTCCTTGGACATCTCATGGGCTGTGATTATCTACATAAGGCTGTTTATAAGATCGAAAATTGGTGATATTTGGGTTCCCTACTCCCTAAAACAGTGGGAGTACGTGCCACATGTCCTCACTTTGGATTTAACCTATTATACTACTTTCACTTCAAAAACTGCTTATCTGAAGACCTTACTGAATTCACACTATAGTCCAATAACAAGTTGTAAATTTTATCACGTCTGCGTATCCTGTAGGAGTTATACGACCTTATGTTATCTTATAAGGAACTACTTAATGGTTGAAATTTGGTTACTACTACGCTAAAACTACCACGAAATTTATACATAGTGCAATACACATGACCACCTGACAAACCGATCTATTTGTTGTACGCAATACTGTCAGCTTCCGGTAACAATATGAACATAACAAAAATGTAATAAATGCACTAGATGGTGCTTATTGTTACAGTTCAGACTTGACTCATACAGTTCTACTGTCAAACCTCACGTATATACATTAAAGAACTTGCAATTTACGTTATCCGGGACCGGTAAACTTCTGTACTGTTTTGGTATCTAAGAAAGCCCAGCATACCTAAAACCTAAAAATACAGGAAACCAAAGTCCACAAGAACTCAGTATACGACAAACTAAAGATTAGTGATTTATACTAACACCTCTTTTTTAAAAAAACAAATGAACCTACTGTCTTTAAGACATAGAATTATAATGATTAGATTCTAATTTTTCAGACCAATGCAATCACATGTATCTGTAAAAACTATTTAACATAACTATATAAAGTAACATGAAAATGCCAGCATCAGAAATGATACATTCCTTAGAAATTTGAAAGAAATTCGCATCAAACGGCAATACTTAACAACAAAACATCTCACGTGATTTAAAAAATGGTTTGACTACATCATGTGAGGAAATGTCGATTTGGGCTCGTAAAGCAGAGCCTGTGAAAACAATTCAAAAGTCATTCAAAAGTCGAATGATGTTAAAACTAACGCTGTTGAACAGATATCCACCAGGATTTTGTGAAGACAGACAAAAAAATATTTGATCTAAATGGTAACTGCTGTCTATACTTATGAAGTCGATGTTGATGAAAAGTTCATCGTACCTGTTCTACGGACGTATTTAAACACGTATTAAATACTTAATGGTGCACGCATTCATGAAATGAAAGGGTTATCCTAATTTCCACATAAATTAAATTAAAAAAAGTTACTAGACTTGAATCAATGCAATGTACATGTTGAGTATAACGAGAAATGCATTAGGCAGAATACGATGGAACCTATGCCCAGATCACAGGCATTACGATGTAAGTTTGGTGGCTGAGAAAATTTTAATGTCATATCCACGGCTGGACACAAAAATGAACAGCTGACAAAATGTGTTTACCAGAGTAGTGTTATCTTCAAATGATACTTACCACCTTTTCCAACAATCTCGGAAACATGATCCTTGCTTGGCACACGCACTCCTAGTTGGAGGTACGCTGCTTTAGTCTTAGCTTCTGTTTCACCATAACGATTACGAAAATATGCTGAAATTCTGCCGTAAGATTGACTTGTAGAACGGCGTGAGTTCTCCTTAATTCGCTCCAGTTCAGCACCAACTATGAACCCATGCTTCTGTGCAATAGCATAGTAGTGTAAACGATCCTGCATCAAAAGACCAGGTCCCATGAAATTATGACAGCTGTTACTGGGATGGGATGACTGAATTGTGGGGAACAGTTCTCGCTGAGGACAGTACGTGGAGCTTGAGTTTGAAGGGCGAAAACCGGGAAGAGAAAATGCAGCATCCTGATATAATCCGTTTCTCGAGATTAGATTTTGTGATGTAGTACCAAATCCACTCATTCCATTAGAAAACAATGTCCCAGCAGGGCCTGGTGACAAACCAGGATATTGTCGCTGTAAATGTGTCTGAGAATTTCCGGGATAGTGATTATAAAATGGAGAGTTTTGTAGACTGTGACGATCACCGGCTCCATTGTTCAAATTTAATAATGAGTGTTGTGGGATAGATCCCAACTTGTTACCGAGACATGGAGATGTAAGTGCAGAGTAAGGAGGAACTCCAACATGACTGTGACGCATATTCGGAAAATTATCCAACAAATCAGCTTGAGATATAACAGTCGGAGGGGGAGTACTTTGTCCCGATATAGGACTAACGGGTAATCCACCATATATTCCATTTTCATTTGAAGGACTTAAAGATATCCCACTAGACGTTCTATCGTAAATAAGTGGAGTTTGAACGCTCCGGTGACTTGGCGAATTAATATTGTAACTTGTATTTCCAGATTCTGACATAAGTGAACACAAATTCGATGGATTAAATTCATTATTTCCACTCATATGATATTGTCCCTCTGAATTCGACTGATCACCATTAGCCATAAATGACAGAAGTCTAGCACTCAATAGGTCTTCGCCATCGAAATTAGCCATACTTACAGTTGGCATTTTTTTAATGGAGAAGCTTGAGCAAAATTGGAACGAGGAAGTCACCGGGATTTGCACGCCATCAGTTTAACAATAAGTAATCGTATTATTCAATTATAACTGATCAGACGATGTAGTGATTCCAATGAATAGGATAACTCCATCAATAAACTAAGTTGGCATACAACATTCAAACTCGTCTTGCAAACAACCATCAAAAGATAATGTAGAGGATTTAGACGAAATGCGTCAATGGAATACGTACTGTCCAATGTATCGGTTTGACTAAGTAAAATAGACACGTTACACAGCCTGTCCCAATAAAAGAATCTGATTGGCTAAACTAATTTAAGCTCATGTCTTTGTTTGTCTAGATTGGCCTAGTGATCAATTTATGTAGGCTAGTGTCTGTCTGCCCACACATGAAAGGAACAGTGATTTGTCATGATTAGAGTAAAAATGAACATATTTAAGTGCCCGGTTTGACTTGCTAATTCACCATTGGATTAAAAATGAACCAATCACAGATAAAAGTGTTTCAGCCCGAAAATTTTTATTTGTACTGGTGAATCAGAGGTAGATTCTGATTTAATTTCTGCTTACTCAATCAAGCTATATGGATTTTGACAGCAATTCGTCTAGTCCACCTTGGCTTGTTCTAAATCACGGATTTAGCATTGTTTTTGACTTTTAAATATACCATTTGGATATTCATCACGTCGATTAGTGACTGAGTCTGAATTTCGGTGCTTCCGTAGTCATACTTCTAATGTCACTTTTACTAAAAAAAAATAAGCAAAAATAATCGTTCTATTCACTTTTCTCAGAATGAACAGTTACAACCTATTTACCCTTTTAATATATGCCAATAAATACATAGACAAAATAACAAAGATTGTGTACAAGCGAATAAAATTCTTATCAAAGAAAGAACAGTCTTTGCAAGTGAATAGTGTGTATACATGTTTGAGAGATATTTTTAGTTAGGTCACTTAAGCGCTAGATATGTTATAGTAGAGGTTGCCTATGCTCATTTTAAAGCGATATGACCTCTTGTACCAGTATCTTGTTCTGACAAACGATATACATGGGGAAAGCAGTAAATGAGGTGGATGGTTTTTATCACATCAGCTAGTTAGTTGTTTGAGCAATAATAGTAATGTGGTATCTGTTTTCTCTACAAGAGGTACATAGATTAAGAAAAGTGGTATTCAAATAATTCTTTTTTTACAGTATTTTCAATTTCGGCCAAATAAGTTCAGATTATCTTTAACACAAGGGGATTTACGTTGTCTAATAACTGGCAAGGAATCGTCGAAGAAAACTTTTTGTGACGCTAAGCTTCGCATTGTCCTTTTCAGGAGGCCCATCATTCTTTTTAATAGTTCATTCCTCTTTCCATCACAATTGTATCTGGAAACGCACTTGAGACATGCGCGTTTTCTGTACGAGTACACTTTGATTTTAGAGGGATAATGATCACTATTTTTCTGAATCAGTCAATTTTTTTATATGGGATTGATGATGAATTTTTATTTGGTGTTAATGCAAGACGAAAACTATTATTTTGAATCTCACATATATGTGTTGGTTGACGCAGAATATCTGCACTAAATAACTTGTTTACTTACTTTCACATACACCTGTTACCTTAATGGGGCATAGGTCACCGACCAATATTCTTCAGCCAACTCTATCCTGGGCCTGCCTTCACAGTTCTACACAGATGCTGTTCACTCGTTTCATATCTGTCTCCAATTCTGGATATATTGTGTTCTCTGGTCTTCCTCTTCTCCTCTGAAATTGGGGATTCCAAGTTAGGCATTAGCTTGTGACTCAGTTGGGTGATTTACGTGATGTACATCCTGTTCTCCCCCAGTATCTCTCCCTAATTTCTTCTCCAGCTACTGTCTGGATTGTTCTCCGTCACAGAAGGTTGCTACTGATCGTGTCTAGCCAACGGATAAGGAGTATCTTGCGTAAGCAGTTGTTCATAAACATGTGTATCTTGTGGATGATGGCTGTCGCTGTTCTCCAAGTTTCTGCTCCGTACAGTATAGCTGTCTTGATGTTTGTAGTAAAAATTTTAACTTTCCTGTTGACCGATAGAAATTTTCACTGAGTTGCAGATGCTCTTCAGTTGTAGAAATACTGACCTTCCTTGGTAAATCCGTGTTTTTACAGGTTGTATCTTTTCGTTTTGACAGCAACTTGAATAGTTCTTCCGGTCTTTCACAATGTACGAACATTCCATCTACTTATAGTAATTGTTGCTCTGGTCGTCAGAAGTCACGTTGACCTTGTGACTACCGAAGAAACTCGGTTTTCACTTGTAGTTTTGATAACTCTCGTAAATGAAGACCTTTAAACTGACAGATCAGAGTTAAAATGGTTTGTATTATTTTCTGTGGTTAGTGTTTTTTTCAGGTTGGCTCTTTTTCGAGCTTGAGACCGTCAGTAAGCTTTTGTGGTCTGCAGGTGGAGTTTGTACTAAATTTTACTGACATTCACTATAAAAATGGATTTGAAATATTAACGTTTTTTTACACTTGCCATTCTTAACTAGAAATACTTATCATAGCAAATTCAATTTATGTTTGATAGCTTAGAGAATAAACAATAAGGCTGTCTAGTGTAATGACTCAACGAAGTATTTCGAATTATTTTTTTTTTACATTTCAGTATTTATTTTCGATAGTAAACTTATACTACTAACAAGTAGAAACATAAGCCATTGACTTTTATGATAGAACGTTTGTATACAACGTTTCTTCTCTCACACATATTTCAATGAGAAACAGTTGTAGATTATAGAGAAAATTTAATGAGTAAACTAATCTAAATCCAATAATCACATAAAATAAATAATCCTCTTTCAACACATAATCTTCATATGTAAAGAGCCAAAAAAATTCTGATCAAAGATGAAATTAATGAACATTGAACAGCTTGAAATCATAGCGTTACGGTTTATCAGTAGTTAGTTTACTTGATAAATAATAGAGATCTAAACAACTAATCGATTCTATTCTTGTAAGGAATCGATCTTTGTGATGATTTGTTTTCATAGTGTACAAGAAAAATAGTATATATATTCCGGATAGAATGACACAATTTCTTTGTTGAAAATTAAATAAAAATCTGGAATTACTTAAGTTTCAAATAATAAGAATTTTGTTTTATTTTTATTGCGCAGTTATTTCAAAATTCATTACTGGTTACGATAAATTTTGATGATGAAGTTTTATCAGCTTGTCTTATATTGTTGATATTTCTGAATTCCTAACTTATTTACTTACTAACTTAAGTCTATTACCCTCAATTAGAGTATAGGCAGCTGACCAGCATTCTTCAACCTACTGTATCCCTGTGTAGTGAATGAGGACACAGGTGGGGCAACCGAATTGTATTTAACCCAAATTACAGGGTCACTCAGTAAAATCGGAAAACCATATCGTAAATCGTTCATTTGCAAAATATCAGTTCATCATATCGAACTGGACTGTTCCTATCGCAAAACATCAATCCATTGTCACTCTTCATGCGTTTCATACAAATTCCATTGTTTTCTAACTCTTCCTTTCTTGATCTACCTCCATCTTCTGCTGCCAGACATTACGTTGACACTCACGTCATATACTACTTATAAGTAGCTCACACCACACTTGGTCTTCCTTTCTTGTTTTCACCAATTGTTGTTCATTCTTCTCATGTCTATTTCTATTTCTCGGCGTGATTTGTTCTACGGTCTTTGTCTTTTCATTTGACTTTGGAGATTTCAAATGACAGCTCATCTTGTGACACAGTTATGTGCTTTCCTCAATGTGTATCTCATCCACAGTTCTAGTGCTTCTTCCTGATTTCCTCTTCCACTGAAATCTGGTTTGTTTTCTCCAACAGAAGCTTATTGCTGATGGTGTCCTCTGAATTCTGGGAGCTCCCTCACACTTAATGGGTTGTTATCTAACAAAATCTTTATTCGGAATCATAATTTCTATTCGTATTTACTAACTTGTGTTATTTGTAGCGTAGGAGAAATATTCGTCTACCAACGAGTAGACCTAGCAGTTCTTTACTTTATTCAGTCATAACTCTATGAAATGTGGCTTTTTTTAAAAGGTCAAAGATACTGATCGTTTACTACTAATCAACAAAACATTACAAGTACATCTCAGGACCATCCAGTTTGTAAACTTTCAGGTTAGACTTAAATTACTAACTAGGTTAGTACGACAAACTGGTGTTCATATGCTCTAAGTTCTATGTTTCAAATAAGTGACTGACTACTGACTTCAACATAAATAAGTACAATGTATCATATCTACACTCTAAGACTTTGTGAGTCATCATCATCATCGATCAGTTCTTATTGTTAAAAAAACACAGACGTGAATGATAAAATCGATTTTCTTTGTTTGCAATCGTTTCGATGAAACAATTTGTCAACAGTTATTTAGTTGTTTTATTTTTGTTTTTAATTTTTGATAAGGATTCAGTAAAACTGTCAAAAATTTAATTAGACTGATGTTTATCAAGTTCAATTGTAGTTATTTAGTGATTTGGTTTGTGTTTTATGATTATGATCTAAAAGTATTGTAAGCCTTATGTTTGATCTCTGATCTATACACTGCAGATATATGCTGGGATGAAACAACTGTCTGAAGAAGATGACTGTTCGTTAATTCATCGGATAGCGATGAAATATGGATGCCTAACGAACAAGTAAGGAATCAATGTTTGATTTGGTAATCGGTGCAATTAATCATTATAAAGTTATGGAGATTATTGAGATTGTTTCATTGAAATCGCGAATCGATCATTGTTAGACCACCATCAGAAACCTGGAAGCACTGGAAGGCCATTTCGTTCTGATATGGGACTCATCAACAGTGAGCATTCATGACCTACGCTGTCAGAAATCAAACCTAGGACCTTCCTGATTTCTAATGGTGTTCTAACAATAAAGGATTCATGATTTCAGTGTAAAACAATTATCTCTATAACTCTATATGAAAAATCGTACAATGTGAAAAATAGCGAACAACTTCGTGAGGAAATTCTCGGAGTTCTAGTGAGAAACCGTGATCAGTGGATTTGAACCCTGTCGGGTGTAGACAGTAACTATCGAAGACAATGAGCGGCATTGAGTAATACCTAAGATTGATCAGAATTAAACATTAACACCGTTGGTCTAGAAGTTGAGCGTTCGTGCACGAGACCGAAGACCTTGGGTTTGACTTCCGCGAGCAGGGATCATGG